GGGGGGGGGGGGTGGTTGAGGGAAAGTCTTTCCAAAATGCCTATGAGAGTGTCTTTTTGGGTTGTTGAAGTACTTCAAGAAGGTCAGTGGAAAAGGAAATATAACCACTTTATATTACTTAACACTGAACTAGATTTTGTTTTTGTATTATCACTACTCTCAATTTTTCTGATATCAGTAACCAAAAGATTCCCATCTGATCCCTGAATGTGTGCTGACTTGAGCACGTGCTGCGTATTGTAGGATGCACTTTGGAAATTTTTCCCTACTGTTGCTCCTTGTCCTACTTCTAAATAGATGCACAAATGCATATATACACGTACACTTGGGTGCGTATGTAAAAGAAATGAGAATGTTGTGCCTGAAACAATGATTTGACATCAGACCAGATCTAAAATCTCAGTAAACTATTCTGTCTATAATACACTATAAATTCAATCAACTATCTATTTTAATGTGTGTATTGACAGTATAGAGAAACATACAATATGGAAACCTTCTAGGTTTGAAATAAAACAAGTGCTTTAGTTGTGTGTTTAAAGACCAATTAACTTTCATATCTACTTTTTAAAAGGCATTGAAATGTCTGAAATATCTTTCAGTTCTACCAAACGTGATGATTAATGCATTAAAACTAAAGATAAGTTTTTGGTATTTTAAAGAAGAGAAGTGTGATTGTTACATCTTAAAAACAATATTATATATATAAAGTTTAGTATAACAGGTAGCTGCATATATGGTATGATTTTATTTTCTTTTAAGAACTACAGGGTACATTTTGAGAATCCAAGTATGTAACTATAGACAGTAATTTAAAAAATGAAAATAGCATGAAAGTAAGAGTGTTACCGTGCATCTGAAACTTTTACTGTATCTCTTATACTAATGTAAGCCACGGCTTTTGAACTTATTGTTTAGAAGCTGGTGGTAAAGTTACTTCTTTATAAATTCAAAGGGACGTAGGTCTGTCCGCTATGGAGACTTTCAGTACTGCGATCAAGCAAAGTCAGTAATAGTGGTAAGTAATATTGCCTACTTGTTTGCCTCATCTTAAGCAAAAAGAGGTTTTGCTACACAGTTTTGGGATATTGTTACCGTAATGACTCTCTATATTGTAATAATACAAAATGTTGGAGGTGCTATTTACAATTATACACAGTAGAGATATCAATGTACAGGTTTATGCTCCATTTTTTGTTTTATTTCTTTCTACTATTGTCTACTTTGCACCCAAAATCATTTCCTAAAATGAAGTTCCCAAACAGCTTTTCCTTTCAGAAAACAGAGTTTGATCAGGAGCTTCAGATGTAATCTTTTAAAATTGCATGTCAGTTCAGATCCGTGAAGTTCAACTCTTTTAGTTTTTCTCCCATAGTATGAAGTTGTTCACCTCTTTCATATCCACAGCTATGGAAGTTGTTACTGATTGAATCCAAGTGTGAAACTACAAACATGCTTTCAGTTTGCATGTGTGTATTTATATGTGTGTATATATATATATATCTTCATAATATCTATATTACAGGCTTCTTCCATGTAAGAACATGGGAATAATATTTTCTATTTAATTTTTATTTAACTGTTGCAGCACAGTACTTAATTACATGAAATAAATAGTTTATGTATAATCCTGCTACCACTGAAAAACAAGTGCTGCAACTAGAGTTACTGGACTTAAACTATTTAAGGTATTTTGAAGACATTAACATATCTTCAAAGATAAAGTTGTGCAATATTTTTAACTTGCCACCTACGCAGTCAAAGAACAAATGGCTTTTGTGTGTAATGCCTGCCTATTAAGGTTACTAACACAGAGGTGAAGGGAAATGCTTTCTTGTTGTAACACTGCGTGTTTAATTTGGGTTATTGAAAATAGTCTGTGGACAATCAGTTTCTTTCCTTGGTGGGTTGCTGTGTGACTTGTGTGTCGTGGTGTGAGGAGCAAACGTGCGTGGCTGTCTTAGATTGGGCGTGGGACTGCTTATCAGTAAAATGCAGCAGATCAGTGTGTACGTTGACAAGAGGCCAAGAGTGGAAAATGGATTGGCTTTAATATGTTGATATTGCATAATAAGGTCCTTCAAATATTGATAGGGTAAACAAAGTTCAGACTTTTTTGGTTTTTTTTTTTCCTTATGTTGGTGCTAGTAATTAGAATATGTATTAATATTAAAAATTATTTAAATTAGTCATAGGAATGCTGTGTTTCTGTACAGAAATATATGCTAATCCTCACTTAAGTATGCCTTACCTCATTTTTCCTTTTGTTTTTAAGAGAAATACCAGTCGTCAGACAAAGCCACTGAAAGTACAAGTTATGCATTCATCTATTGTTGCCCATCAGAGCTTTGGTCTGAAGCTCCTAACTTGGCTTGGCAGTGTTATTGGATATTCAGGTGGGCAAACTTGAACTTTTTTGAGATGAGTCAGAGAATATTTGTGAGGAAAGATGAATTCCTGAAGCAATGTTGTCTGCTTATTTCAGATATGTGATATGCAAGGCAAAGCTATTAATAACTTGTCAGACTTCATTGTGTTTTCTCTTACTGGAGTGCTGTTCTAACTTCCATATCAGTGTTACCAGTCTTACTCAGTCTTCTCGGATACTGTTCTCTGTTTAGTTGCTGTTGAACAGAAGGTGAGAATCACTGTCAAATGCTGTATGCCAACAAGCTATTTTTCAGTTCTTTTTAAGTGAATGCAGTAAGCTAAAAATAACCTGTCTGATGAGATAAAACAAAATTATTCATAAGTAATTGGAAGAATGATGATGAAAGTAATTGCTTCAGATTTTTTGCTAAGTAGAACAGGGAAATGCAAGGTGGTTTTGGGGTAAGTGTAGAAACCAACAAAGTATTAATCAGATATTTAGAAAGAGATTTCTTCAAAGGAATCAAGATGCGCAGTATCATTTTTATGGGAAGACTCTGTGTTTTGGCTTGGTTCCTCCTTTGTCCTGATGAATCATGAGGTAGCGAAGATGTGAAGCATGAGGGGAAATAAAAGGAAAATGTGTCAAATATTTATGCTGATATGTAGAAATGTAGATAAAGTCTCCAGTGCACTTTGTGTTCTGTAACATCTGTAAACGTTAACAAGAGTTGTTAGCAAAGCACACTGAGCTGTAGTATTACGTATATGTTCTGCCTAGGTGCCAGATTTCTTCAGAGATGGTATGTTTTATTAGACTGATGGTTGAAAAACAAGCCAAGATTTCAGGCACAGGATCTCTATATCATGTTAACTTTTTTTGGAAGATAAGTGGTTTATGTTTGTGTAAGATAATTTTTAAAGATGCATAAACTGCTGAAAATTCATGGTAGGAGTTTGTTCAACTATTTGACAATGTTTCTGACAAATAATAGGTATTAATAGAGAGGAGAGATGTGAAGATATTTAATTTCTGAGAGAAATTTTCCTTTCAGTGTAATGTGTAGGCAGGCGCTGCTTTCTCATATTCTTTGAGCCCAGTTTGTGCCGTGTCATTTGTGTCAGGTACTGAGGTCACTAATTTTCAGCCTTAAATTACAGATGCAAAAAAAATCAAATTACAGATCAAAGTGTTGAATTTATAGTTTGATTTGTGCGTATGGTGTTTCTGAAATTCTGCAGAGTTGAATTCATTAAATGCAGTGTCCTTTATGACTCAGAAGGGCAAAACCAGTGTTTGATGGTAGGCAGTATGCATGTGTTTTGTCTGTGACCTACGTGCTCAACTACTTGAAATGCCTTACACACCTTGGGATGCTGTCTTGCAACGTACTCTGGAGTCTGGTTTTATGAAATGCAAAAGTTGGTCTCCTTTAGCTTTTTTAACAAACACACCCACACATCTAGATTCTGCTCAATCTTTTAAAAAGCCTGCTATGGTTCACCTGTAACATGGGGTGATAGAATGGCACTGCTTAAGTGGTTACACTTAAATGTCTCTGACCAAAGGGAGATTGGCAGGCAGAGGGGTCTTCTGTGCCACAAAGTTAGGTTGGATGATTACTGTGAAGTGAGTGTCAAACTCTTGTCAGTGACTAAAGGGAAAAACTTTACTGTGGAGCTTTATCACAAGCTTGACTGACACATCCTTTCTAGCAAGTGTCAGTTCTTGAGGAATAAGCATCTGTTTACCATTTGTTGAACAATGCTGTAGTTTACATTAATTTGTTACCCTTCATAACAGTAGTTGCAACTGAACTCTACAAGGCAAAAAAAAAGAAGGGGAAAAAAAAGAAAAACCCCCAAAGTGCTATAGGGGTTCATAGACTGTATAGAACTGTGCTGTGCAGCGTATGAGATGGTGTACATGGCACTAAGGCACCACCAGCTCGACCGAAGGAGCTGAGATGGCAAAGCGACATGTAGATATAAGGGCTAGGGTGTGTAAGTCATATATTTGTGTTAGTGAATATGCATTACCTGCAGGGCAAAGCTGGGTTTAACATTGTTAATATGAACATGTCTGTTTTGTGTTCTTTTGCAGATGCAGGCTTGTCTGCAAGCGTATAATAACTTTCATGTTCATATAATACAAATTATGACTGCTTTTCATTAGAAAAAAAATATGTAGAGAAGCTTTAAAATAATACCAGCTAGTAAGTGTAAACAAAAAACCCCATATATGAGTATATGAGTCATTTCGTATATGAATGATGTTTTTATTTTGATAGGACTCTAAACAGGAAAAAAAATTACCTAGAAAATTGGCCTGCTGTATAATTATTTCTTATATTAGGAAGCCAGCAACACTTTTAAGAAAGCAGATTTTTGGTTGATAACTTTGAAACAAATAATTGTGCTTGGCAATTTCCACAAGGTTCCTAATGTTCCTTAAGGTTAGTGTGAAACTTGAAAGGTATAAAATATTTGTGTTTCTGTCAGCAAAATATGAACAGTGTTACTCAGTTGTCAAGGAAAAGAGGGTCCTATGGCTTCTACTGTATCTTATGAAAATTCCACTATGTCAAAATAATGTGCAAGTTTGTGTTTAAGCTGTAACTAACTTATGTAATTTCTCCTCACTAAGATGGCCTTCGACGAATATTGTGTCAAGTTGGCTTACAGGAGGGGCCAGAGGGTGAAAATTCTTCTCTTGTGGATAAGCTGATGCTGTATGATTCTAAACTGTGGAAAGGTGAGTTTTCTCAAACTGCTGGAAAATACTGAACAATGCTATGCGTGTAAGTTTCCCCTCTACCGTATCTGCCAACGTTTTATCATTTTTACTATGGTGTATTATAGATGGAATTGCCTGATTTGTGATATTCTGTCTCTTCATGATGTGCTCCAAAAATATTGAAGACAAGAATGTAAGGAGATCATTTGGAAATGGGGTTGGTTTTAGATCTAATTTTTCAAGTCTGACTTGAATATGCAGATGACAGTGATAGTTAAGGGAAATTGAGTAAACAGTAGGGTGACTTGCTTTACAGGTTCTCAGCATCTGTACCGTATCTGCAAAAATGCCTCTTTTTAAGGGATAGGGCAGAGGTTTTCCACCTTGTCTTGTGTTTGTGTTCATGAGGTATTTTTAAATCTTCTGAGAATACACAGTGAAAACTACTACTCTGTTATTTTAGAGCCCAAAAATTTCAAAAGCCTGATTGATGTAATGGGATTGGCTAGGAAGCTGTAATTTTGAGGAGGTGGAGATGGTGGAGATAGTTGATTTCTTTTCCATCATGGATTCTGTGTCTGATTTGATATCCTGAAAGGGCATGTAAGGCCAGATGTAAGAAAGAGAAGGCAGAGAATGATGCAATATATCTCTCCTTTCCTTATTTAAACATTAATATAGTATTTTGAAGATTGCTACCTTCCTCCCAGTACCTTTTGTTGTTCTTCAGTTCTGAGGTACAAACATTCTAGAGAGTAGTAACATCCCTTTATGGTCTGTCTTGGGAACTTCTTGGAGCAGCAATAATGTGGAAGGTGGATGCAGTATGGAGAAAATAGTTCTTTTAGATTTTGTTTATTTAATACCTTTATCTTGTGTGAATGAATTTCTGGCAATCTGATTTTATATATATA